AAGAAGAGCAATAAATCCATTTGAAATGACAATGTCGAGTGAACTAAGAAGTTGAGGCTTACAAAAAGAGTACCGTTGACGAAAACGAATTGAGAAGGCACCTCATCTGAAACTTGACACAACTACCAACTCCAAACAACACATGGCAACTCTTGATGTGTTTAACTTTGGAGGATGGTACGTAGCAAAGGAATGCGAAATTATTTAAAAAGCTTATAGAATATAATAATCGACATCTAAGTGATTTCTGCAATCTCTTGCAAACAAAGGAATTGTGTAGATGGCTGATATTGCGACAGAACGTAAATGTAAGAAGTTTGGAACCAAATGGTGTGAAAAAGCACATGTCAGAAAAAATCACATATTTTCGTATTGATCAATTCGACGTTTGGTGTTTCCACCGCGGATTTGACGTAGAGTCTTGTACTTGTCCCGACCAGCTCGCTTATTCTCCATGTGCAGCACATCATAATCAGTGACAGCACGCTCGTCTTTTACCACTTCGAGCTCCCGAGTGAGCATCTGCAAGTTCACAAAGCATAAGTGGCAAATAAATCCATCACAACCGCTGAAAAAAAAGGTAATACACTTTTTCAACCTGACTGCATGTAGAACAAAAGTTCGAAAAACCTGACGACAGTGTCCAGGCAAACTTTCGACACCGTGATTCATCTCTTCTGAATTACTTCGGTATGCCAAGCGCAAAGAGCATTCCAACTACCGTGAAACTGTCAAAAACAGAGATTCCGGGCCCTATTTGGTTTGAAAGGGACGAGTGGTGGAGAGTTTCAATTTTTCGACTTTTGATTCCGAAACGTTCGCATGAATTTCTCGCTGAAGAGTATTGCTTTTGAGAGTAGTCAAACATGGGCGATGCTGAAGAAGGAACACTGAGCGGGAAGAGAGATATAAAAGGAACCTAAATGGAATGATTTTCTAGCTTGCTATGGCCAATGTCCCTGAATCTGAGGAATAGCTTAGTTAAAGATTCGTTAATCATTATTTGAAGACCCAATATCCTTAACTTTGCCCGGACAATTCCTTAAGTTGAGCTGTTCAAATCTTACATCTTTGTTGTTAAAGATGCACTCCTTACCTCAAGCTTCGTCTTAATGTTTTGATTTTGCTCGGCTGCCGTGATGCGGTCGAGTTCACGTTGAGGCACATGCTGATCAGCTTCGTTGGTGAGTTCTCAAATGTATGTTGCAGATTACAGTTGCATACTTATATAGGATAGGCTTACCAGTTGTGCAATTTTCGTCCTCGTCTGTGTGATTGTCTTCACGAGTGAGCATAGTGTGATGGATCTAAAACACGAAATTCGCTGGTTA